CAGCCAGCGCCGCGCCGGGCCGGCGAGGGGAGGGGAGGGGGCCGCCGGCAGCGAGTTCATTTCCCTGGTAATCAGCGGCAAGCTGCTATATTCAGGGAATGCTGTCCCTTTAATTGAACAGGCTAGGTAATTAAATGGCACTTTTCCAATAGGACGTGCTAGGTAAATCTAATAGTTGGTTATTTAATATCACTTTGAAGTCTGCCCACTCAAGCACAATGACAGCACAGGAGCATGTGAACTATTAGCTAGGCAAAAAAAAAAAAAAAAGCAGGATCTCAAAAATTAATTAAATCGCATGCAATTTAGGGGGAACGTTTATCTTGATTTGTCATAACAGAATTAATTCAAGGCCTCCAATTCACTTGGGGGCAGATCTGTTACTCTGAATTAACCAAGCGTAATTTGGCTGCCTCTTTTTTTTTTTTTTTTTTTTTTTTTTTTTTTTTTTTTTTTTTTTTTTTTTTTTTTTTTTTTTTTCTTTCCCCCTTCTCTAATGCAGCACTTGCCATTATGCACAGCCCCCCTTTTAAGTATCAATAGCTTCTGGTGCTTCTAAGGTGCTTGATCTCTAGTTATTCTGAAGTACCTTTAATGGACTTGGCTTCAGGCGTAATTTCTGTGTTGCCTTTCTTTGTTACATTTAATATAGGTGGTGCAGAATTTAGATTAAATAGGGGATGTACAGAAACACCAGTGGCTTCTGGATCAGTAGGTCCGGATGCACACTTCTCTTTGCCCGGGCTCCGATATGTATTTGTGGGCGCAAATGTGTGCCGTGTTTTGCAAGAACTGGAGCACTTGAATCTGTCTCCAGAATTTTGGAAACAACTGGAACCTTATTTTGTTAGTGTTAGTTGCTAGAGATGTGTTTCTGCTGGTACTGAAATGTGTGAAGATGGGAAACTGGGCTGAAAAGATTTCTTGCTCCCTCCATTCCCACCCTTCTGAAAGTTCTGAAAAAAAAACCCAACCCCAAAACCCAGCCCAAAACCCCTGGGAGCTTTTGTGTGTTTGGGAGTGGGGGGAACACTGCCTTGGAACCGCACAGTAGTTAATTTAAGGTGGCTCAGTAAAATGCTGCTAAGTGTAGAAGAGCTGCCTTGTCCGTACAGGGAACCTCTTGATGTTTGTGATTGATTGCATTGCCCAAACGTTGAAATATTAATGACCTTCTTGGACTGAGGACCCAAAGAGGAAACTGAAACCAATTCTGTCATCACAATTAAAGAGTCCCCTGGCTTTAATTAGCCTGACCTGGGGTATCTCTACCCATTGCTGCAGTTAAAGAGAAAAGAGCCCATTAAAGTCCAGTCTGAGACCGATAGCTACTTAATTGAGCACCTAAAGCCTCAAGCCTTTTAAATCAAATACTGTCCTGGACAGTCCCTCTGGTTAGATAATTAGCTCTCCAGCCTCTCAGAAACCACGTGAAACAACTTTTTCAGTATAGTTACTGTGGAAGACTTCCTTTACTGGTAAGGAGGAATAACATTTTTTGTTTTTTAAGATAAAACCTTTTTCCTGTTAATGGTATTACAGAACAAAACCATGCATAACAGTAGAGAAGGAAAAATAAGCGTTTTTCTGGTAAATAATACAAAGCGGCAGAAAGATGTTCTGACTTTGCAAGTAATTTTTAGGAATTTTAGCAGAAGCTTCAGCTGAAGTGGCTTCCCAAAACAGAATTGTTCTGGGAACATGCTTAGGGAAAACCAAAGATGTGTGGAAAGCCTCTGGATTAGTTTGCCTTCATTTATTAGAATTCACAGACATTCAAGGTGTACGACCACTTCTAGTCAGAGAGAACTGTGTAACAAATGAATGCTTAATGAAGACAAGTAGTGCAAGGAGACCAGTATTCCAAAAGCTGGGTTTGCAGTTGTGTGGTGCGATTGTACGGGGTGGGGGTTGCGAGAGCCCGCTCTCCAGGTTCAGATTCTCCTGGGCAACTAACGTTGTTCATCACTGCCTTTCTTCCTCCGCCCTACCCAGCACTGCCCTTGTCGCCACACCCTTACCCTACATTTTTGGATTTTTGCTCTAGAAACGTGAATGCCTTGGTGCCTCCTCTCGCAGTGCTTCCCCTGCACCTTTCCTAGATGCCAGCTTCGTCACTGGTAACAATGGAGGAAGAAGAATGCATGTTGTAGAGCTTTGGAAGTAACCTCAGTATGTCATGTAGCTGCTCGGAACTGGTCCTGATTTAGGAGGCGCCCTAATAACGGACCCTTAGTTTCCAGACAGTTTAGTCCCTTTGGCTGGAGGTCCTGGAAATGTACTAGTTCAGCTTTCCCTTTGTAACCACTGCGATTCCGTAAGAACGTGTCAATGTGTCGTGGATCTCGGACTAATTAGTTTTGAAATGGAGTTTTGATTGAACTCTTCAAATCGATGCTGCTGCAAAATTTGTTTCTCAGCTTCCTATTAAAAGCCATCTTAAGGGGCAGTTTTACTACTCTCTCTGTCGTTCAGTCGATACATTTAATAACAACTTACAGGCTATTTTCAATAAAGTGGCGACAGCAAATTAGTAGTTTGAACATGACAAGCCTCCTCTGCAAGCTCAGATTCTGAAAATTCAAAGCAATTATTTTTATACAGAGGCACACCGCAATCATTCAGATTACGGGTATTCTGTTGTAATGCGTCTCCTAGGTTGACACAAACAGAATTTTATTACTTTATTTGGACAGGAAGGAGATGCAAATATTAATATTTATTATGACACCAATACGCTAATTTGTAAATCCCATTACTGTGTTTTACATTGTGCAGAAAAGTGGGTCTGTGACCCTGCCAGCTAGTTCAGTTTCCCTTTTTTACTGCAAAAGGGTTGTGGTACTCTTTATAAATACTTGTGTATATTAGAGATGTGTGAGAAAGCAAATAAAGGTTTTCTAATTCTAGCTAACGCAGCCTGTAAAAGTAGAACTCAATAATCATTATTGTATTATATTTTGAATCGATGCGTTGTGCCTTTAAATGGACTTGAAGAATTATGTATATATTTTTCTTCACCACTCTTCTGCCTATTCCCCCCCTCCCCCTCTGCATGTGCCCCCCCCTCCAATGGCAGATGTTGTGGTCTCATTTGATTGCATAGGAAAACTGCAGTGATACAGCAAACACCCAGAGAGATATGATGACAAATGGGTCCAGATCCCGGTAAATTACTTTCTGCTCAAATCGAAATTTCATTCAGTTTGTTGCTAGCAGAGATGAAGTAATCTAAATTGTGGACTCAGGAGCAGATAGAGGGAAGTTGGAGCAAGCATTTCATTATCAAGAGAGAGAGAAGGTTAGGATGAAAGAGATGAGCAGAGGCAAATCTAAAGTGTTGACACCATGATTGAAAAGGTTAACCCATACACATTATATATCAACCTGGATAGCAGAGAGTTTCTAATGGAAACTCTGCGCTGATGGAGGTTTACTGGAGTTTCAATACACTGAGCATGATGTCTTCTTAGATATACAATCAAATCCTCTTAACCCTTTTGATGACTCATATCTCAAGATATGATTAAAGTACAAAAGAGTTCTTCATATAATTTCAAGGACACAATGCATTTAAAGTCCAGTCATGAATTGTATCTTTTTTTTTTTTATGATGAACCCAGTAATCTGATAAAGTGTGTGTAGTACAGAATTGTTTGTGTTTCTAGAGGTGTAAGTCAATATTTCTGATTAAATCCTGTGTAACCACATCCCAGGAAGGGTGAAGCTACCAGTTGTTACACAAAAATATACTTTTTCATGTTACAACACAAAAGCAAGTTGGAAGACGGGGGTCAGAAGTCTGGAATAGTTGTGTAATAAACCATTGCAGTGATGTACAAAAATGTTTAGAGCCTCCTGTGTATTAAATTATTCATGATCATCACCTCTGTTTCAGGTTATTTGGAAATAGTGGTGCTTGCAGTGCCTGTGGACAGTCCCTTCCTGCTAGCGAGCTGGTACTGAGGCACAGGGCAATGTCTATCATCTTAAGGTGAGGGGTTTTTTTTTTCTGTGTTTGGGTGTTTGTTTTTTTTTTTAGGAGCTGATTAGTATTGCTGTGCTGCTTTAGTATAAAATCTGCATCTGCTTATGAATGAAATGCAAAGCAATAACTAGAAATATGAGTATATATTATAAAGCTTCCCTTAGCGTGTAGCTTTGTTCCCTCGTAATCGGTAAAACTGTACTTGAGTTATGTACTGCACAGTCCCAACAGGTAAGACTAATGCCATATTTGGAGAGACTAGAAACCAAGCAGCTCCATATCTCAACTGTACTCGCAGTCTCTGAAGTGTAATTTTCAAACCTACAGCATACTTAATTTGTGCTGTTCTTTCCCTTTTCAGTGTTTTACATGCTCTACCTGCCGGAATCGCCTGGTCCCCGGAGATCGGTTTCACTACATCAATGGCAGTTTATTTTGTGAACATGATAGACCTACAGCTCTCATCAATGGCCATTTGAATTCACTTCAGAGTAATCCACTACTGCCAGACCAGAAGGTGAATACTCAACAATTACTAATAAGCTTTATTAGAGCTAAATGAAGATCAATTTCTTTTTGTTCTAATAGTGGACGTTCCCCACCCCTGCAAGGAGACTTTTAAGTAACTGAACTTACCTTAAATACCTTAGGCATGGGGAATGGGGGGAAAACACTAACCTTTTAAATACGACATGTAGGGTGAGTCAGTTTATTTTGGTTTGGGCATGTGCATCTATACAGCTGTTGAACTCCTTATGTACAAAGCAAAATGGAGAGCATATGTTAATATAAATTCTTTAACAAAGAGAAGTATTTTATTTTATAATCTTGAAATTAAGGGCTACAAGAGACCAGGTTTCTGGGGAGGAAAATGGAATCCTTTAATGTGGAAATAAATATCTTGTGAAAAGAAGGTTCCTGAACTAAACCAATGTATTTTGCTGTAAGGCTTTAGTTGAGGAAGCATGCTGGGGTACTCTTTCAGAAGTTTTTTCTTGTATGTTTTGTATGTCATAACTCCAGATTTAAAAACCAAAGTGCTATTTTCTTATCGCTCCATAACACTAATAGCTCAGCTAGAGATCGTGTATCTCTGTGGTTGATAGCTCTTGGTTTCTAGCTAAATGAGTAAATAGTGGCTGTACAAATCATATAAGAGAAAAAGGAGAAAAAAAAATTCTGATCAACAGTTGTCCTGTAACTCTGAAACTAGATAGTTTTAGATCTATTTTAATCTCCTTAATAAGTCCTAAAGCTATGCAAGCGAGTGCATTTTGATAACTGCTGTGCCTAATTTGTAACAATTACTGTCAACCTTGAGTTAAGAGACTGTTCATTCCACCCTGGTCCAGAAAAGAGTGAATGTATGACTCTTGCACATAATTTTATTCACATCATATTTCATACTGATTATGTATTGATGACATTGATTCATTTACTCTTTACAGCGCCACTTGCATGGATATTAAATCTTATTGACCACAGATGAATTTTAATTTCAGATTGGTGATAGATTTTTCCATCAGCTCTGATAGTATATTTGACTTTTTCATCATTAACCCAGGCAATCACACAGCACTGAGTTATTGCAATGAAACAAAAAGTGCACACTTCAGTTGGTAATTCTTTATAGATTTACAATAGGAACTTCATTAATGTCTGTAAGGATCACAAAAAATAACATTTATCTGCAAGTAGGAATTTGGAAGATTAAAAAAAATCTGGGGCAAATGCTAGGCTGGTCTGTTCTGTAACGTACAGAATATTTTTTAGTGCTTTTACTTAGTGGAGAAATATGTCCAAGAAAACATGAACTGGTTTTTAATTTCCATGATTATTTTTGTTGTTGTGTTGCTACATTTCAATATCCGTGTTTGCTTTTTTTTTCCTGTGCATAAATTTACTGATTAATTTTAAGTATTCTTTCAGGTCTCGTACAGTGAATGTAATTACATCAAAATAAAACATGGACCTTTTTTATTTACCTAATTTGTCAATTGAGGTGATGAGAGAGTTGAGTACAAAAGTCCTATATGGCCAGGCAGAACAAAGATAATTAAGATGGGAGGAGAATGTGCAGCCTTTTCTCAAGGAAGTACAAATACAGTTAAAGATTCATAGATTTATACTGTTGTGAATTTTAATGAAACAAATCTGTACTGTAAACTGGCTAGCAGTGAATCTGTTAAATGAGTATCTGTAAGAATCCCAATTCAAAATATAGGTAAAACCATTCATCTTTATACACTGCAGTAAAAGGTTTACCATTGCGAGAGAGTGGTTTATCCACTTGTCTTCTGTGAATGTAAAGTTTAATGTAACTTCAAATAGGTGTCTAAATTGTCACTTAGTTTTATCAGTTTCTTGCTATGCCTTAGCAAAACATAAAAATGATTTAGTTGCTATAACGGCAGTAGACATGATGAGGAACATAGAACATGAAAAAGAGAAGCAAAGTTGGGCTGGGCTTGCAGAGCTCACGGCTGTGGACACCTGGTAGAGGCTAAACGCGAGAAAAACGTGAGAGCAGGGTTTTATTAGTTCTTGTCACTGACTATTAACTGCATTGCTGCAGTCAATGATGAGGCAGATGAAGAGGTATTACGGAGAAGATTGGGGGGAGAGATTATAGTGTTGTAGTTTTTTGTGTTTGTTTGTGTGTATGTGTGTTTTGGCTTTTTTAAGTAATTTGTCTAGAAAATGGTGCGAGTTCTCCTACCAGTTTTCAAAGGGGAATTGTGAAGCACCTGCATCCCAGAAAACTGAAATGTAGTTGAGGAGACAAGTTGATAATTCATAGATTCGTCAGGTTTCTGGAGCTTTGGAAGCTACAGGGGCAGGTGCCAGGAGAGTCATGTTTTGTGTGTTAGCTTTTTAACAGTCTAAAGATGTTTACAGCAGAGATGTTTTCCAGAAAGCGGTGTGGTTTAGGGCCACTAATTAAAAATGTTCTTCCACTATGACAGATTTGGCTGTAACAGATACTCTTTATTAAACATTAAAGATCAATCAGTCTCCAGGTTATTGTACCACTAGAGATTATAGGCACAGGAGAATATTCACAGGGGTTTTTATTAAACTGGAGAGATTGAGACATACTCCCAGCATTTGGGGTGTATGTGAAGGTGACCGTTAGGAACTCGCTGTTGTCTTAAGATAGTTTACCAGTTAACACCTATTGGTGATTGGTGCAGGCAGAAAGGGTTGCATGACCGAACTTTGCTTAAAAACTTCCTTTTCTTAAGGAGGCAAAACCAACGATATTGGCTATTCCTGCCTTCTGCCTCCCTGAGGCAATTCACATGTGTGAATTATAACTTCCTATTGCTTGCTCTGTGGTTTCAAAAAACCTGCTTTATCTGAACTTGGTACTGCTTGTCTGCAGAACGCAAACTCTTGGATGGTGATGTCCTGTGTGCCCTTTCATTTGAAGGGACTGTGTTGTCAAGAATTCTGTGCTTTTTTTGGTAGTGGTAGTATTCCTGTATATTTCTTGTTTGCAGCCGTATTACCACCCACTAAAAGTGTACATTTTCCACCGTTTGGCAACGTTCATAGCAAATGCTTGTCTTCAGCTTCTATACTTTTAAATAAAGTATGAGTTAGATTATGTCTCTCAGAGATCTTAAAAATCTTCTAGTTTACATATCACTCAACAATTCCCTTGTAGTTACATAATTGGTGTTGTCTGTGTCCATAGTAGAAGATATTTGATGCTCATTTATTAAATATGCTAGCTGGCTGTTCCCTAATCTTTGTTCTGGACAGACAAATTACCTTTCTCACACTGAGCTTCAGCTCTGGGGAATTAAACCTCCAAGCCTCTACTACTTTAATTAGGTTGAAAGTGGGGGGTTGCAGTTACTAATAGACCTCAGGCTTTTAGTAACTTAGAGAAAGGGTGAAAAAAGAACTTCCTGGGAAGCGCAAAATGTCATTTAAAAACCATAAAAATCTAATATATATTATTTCATTTTGGTAATTGCAAACAGATTGTATTTGAACACTATGGATGATCATTTCTATTTTATCCAAGAAAGTTTAGATTTTTATTGAGTTAGACACTTTTAATTATCACAATTCATTAACACCAGTGTGAAAGCACATGTTTGACTTCATATATTAAAATGTTTATGTAACATTAACTAACACACCAGATGAGGAATATTAAATGGGGGGAGGAAATCCTGAAATATCTATATTTAACTCTTGTGCAATGCAGCATATTAACCAAAGTTGCCTTGGGAGGATATTGGCTGTACTTCTTATTTGCTTTACACACTATTTCTTCCAATTATAAGATCATATTACTAGCTTCTTTAAAGGCATGGCATAGCGTTTCTTCCCTTTTAAAAGGGGCCCAGAAAAACCACCGTATTCACTGTACGATTTGTTACCGGAAAGTACACTTATTATTGTTGTCGTCTTTTGTGTGTGTGTGTCCCTGCTCTTTTTAGTAGTGAAGCTGCAGAAAATGTTTGCCTTTTGGTATTTGAAGTTGAAACATTAGCAGTATGAATGGATAGTGTGGAAAGCCTTAATCAAGTCACAGTTGGGAAGTAATCTAATAAAAAAGAGATTAGTGAATAAAGAAGAGACAAAAGCAGTCATGTTGTAGTTTCCTATCTCAAATTTAGTATTCTAGCTAAGATACCCATTTTTATTTCTTACAGGTCTGCTAAAAGGTCAGAGTAATGCAGAATGCGTGCCTTCATCTCAAATTTTGTTCATCACAGATGGATCCCATGTCTCCAAGTAGACAAGTCACCTTTGTAGCTAGCATCAATGCCAGCTCCATACCATTGCACCTTCTTTATTCTTGATTGCCCTTCCCACATTTATTGATGTATTAAAATGACTGAATATGAACATTAAGGACTCCATGAACCTGGGCTAATGGGAGACTGTAGAGAAAATGAAAAAAGATCCACCGGAGGACATCTTTGGGGGGCCGGGTGGGGAAGATGACTAATGAAGCTAATTAAAAGAAGCATTGAAATCTGCTTTCTACCCTCATTAACAATTAGCAGGGCACTGGCCAGTTTGTACCCTGTGTTTTACCTTAACAACATTCTATTTGCTCTTTGTATATTTAAGTGTTGTAAGGAAATGTGTTTCAATCAAACTGAACATGAGATAAAGATGTGGCTTTTGTGATATTCTATCACAAACACTTTTATTGTATCACTGTAAAATACAATGTATGTATGCATGTAAGTGTTTTTGTCCTAATGTTGCAACTTCCCATGGCAAAAAAAAAAAAAAAGAAAAAGAGAAAAAAAAGTCAGGCTCATAGCAGCTACTGTGTAGAAATTTTCACCTACTTCTAATTTGCTGAATGAAGAAAAATCTTTTATTTGTGATATTTTCAGAGACATTTGCTCTAGTATGGTGTATTTAAATAATAAAAAAGTAAAACAACACTGAATTGAGTATGGGTTTTAGAAGCTTTGCCTCTTTTTTTTTTTTTAACTACATTCAAAACATTATTCTGAAACCATGTCTTATGTAGTCATTACCTTAATTGTCAATTACCTTTAAAAGTAGCTTTTTGGTTTGGACTTTTTTTTTTTTTTGTCTCACACCAGTAAAGAATCTGTTAAACTACTTAACCGTGTTACTTTTGGCAAGGATACAGAGCACTACTTCAAAATAATCTTTATTATTTTTTTCATTGAGATTCTTAATTCTCGTAACAGCAAGTACAGTATAAATCATGTTGCAGTGAAGTATGGTACACGTACAGGTATTGTGGTCTCCTATCTGGTTCCTTTCTGCAGAATCATCTGTGTTAAGGGTGTGCATGTGCCTGTGAGTGTGCAAGCATGAGGTGTATGTATGTATATACCATAAGAGGTCAAAGAATAATAAAATTTTTAAAAAACCAGCATAAGGTCTGTACCTCATGCTGAGCACTGGAATTGCGTATTCATAAGCAGGAATACAATAGCTATTCTGATCTGAACAACATAAAGTTGTGTTTGCTGTGGGGAGAGACTAACTTTTCAACATGGATAATCTTACAGAAAGAAAAATGTGTTTCCTGGGCTGTTTCTGAGAACAAACTGATCTCAAATATGATCTATTCTCTGAAAGCCAACAAACACCCCTACCTGCCACCCCCACACACCCTGAAAGCAACAAAGTCTCCTCTAAACTTCGAGAGGAAGCAACTTCCTTTACTGGGTTTTCCCCCTCAGCTGCTCATTGGTAGAGCTGAGCAGAACAATTTGGGGAAGAAATTCTGACTTGCCATGTTTGTAGCAAGAATACTGACCTGCATCTTAGCTGTGCATTGTATGCATTCCTTCAGGAAACTGCGAGCACCTCGCCTGTCCCTCTGCTGCAATTAATAACAAAGCTGTATTAACAGCTACGCTGCTTTTATAGGAGACTAACACATTGGAAATACATCATGATTCTGTTTTCTTTAATCCTGTTTTTGAGGAGATGTTCAGCATGCTTGGCTACTTACATTTGTTGTGATGCCGATACACAAAAAGCTGATTTATAGATTTGTCTGTCTACGCAACCAGCAGCTTTCCGATTCTACTTCTTGACCTCTAGTATATTGGAAGTCTGCTGAATTTCTTCTTTTAACACTTCAGTGCTCGAGGAAACATAGGGCTGTCTCAGAGAAAAGAAAATGTTGTAATGGACAGTATCAGCCAGTAAAGACAAAAGAATGCTTGTGTAACATAGAAAGCAATAAAATGACTGAAGCTATGTGTGACTTATTAATTAAATGCACTTGCGTATTTTTTTAAGTAAGTTTCTAAGCTTTTTGATCTGGCATTAAAGTCTTTAGGTAGAGTCCTGCAAATAGTGCTGCTTCAATATCTTTGAAAAGACACTTGAAGTCATGAATATAGAATTCAAGTATTAGTGAGACTGTAGACATCTTTTTATATTCTTTCAGCATAAGCACTCAAGGTACAGTGTTTAAATCTACCATGTACAGATTTTTGGTTGTCCAATATAACCTAGAAGTGTTAAGAAGATAGCTAATAACTTCTAGTAAGTAAGGTAGTATAGCATTTAGTGATGTAGAGGTTGAAGTTCATTAACGGCTTTAAATAAACTATTATATGACTCGTTTGTAAAGCACAGCTACCTATTTAATAGCTTACTTTAAAAGCATTTCTTAAGTTGCAGACCTATAAGATTACAAATGTCACTCATGTTAGCATAATCCACATGCAAGTGATGAAGCCTTTGCTTTGATGTGCTAAATTGGAGGAGGACTAATGGAGCTATGAATATACAATAGAACATATTTAAGTAGTATTCTTGCTTTAGGTAAAACACTTTCTTGAAACCAGAGGCATTTCAGACAATAAAACAGGCTCTAATGGGGACGGTAGGTGTGGATAGAAGACTACTGGAAATGCTTAGATTTGTTCTTATGTGAAAAATCACTTTTTTAGGAGATGCGTAAGGAAAAGCATGTAGTTGTTCACCTTTTATCACATGCGTTTGCTCCTCTGAGGCTGAAATACACCCTCTGCATTTAGTGCTGCTGAAAAGTCGTACAAATAATCATTCGGTAAGAGCTTCCCTCACTTTCAAAAATGAATGCTGTTAAAAAAAATCAAAAGGAAATACTACTAATCTGAAATCATCCTCGTGAACCTGGATAAAATGCTCTGTCTATACTGCATCTAAACGTCTCAATCATGTAAATTGTCACTCTTATTAATGAAACAATTTTGTAAAAAGATTGCCCTCTAAATGGGTTTAATGTTTTTACCTATCCAGCTGTCTAGTTATGAGATTTACGCATCCTGGCAGGCAGTGGGACATTAAGCCTTTCCAAACCAAATTCTGTTTGCAACGAGATACCGTCTTTTCAGTCCTACATGATTTATCTTTAAATATTTTAACAGGTTATGCAGTATCTTATGAAATATAAAATGAGAATGTCTTACCAAAATGAAGCCTATGAAATTAAGTCACATCTTTAGAATATTAACCACACTGAGTTTGTCTCCTGTTTTCCCTGTTTGCATCATCTTACTTCAAGCTAAATAGTAAAAAAAAAAAAAAAAATTGCACACACCCCTCCTGCCCCCCCATCACATACTGGCATAGTATGAACTGCTATCAAGTACCGTCAGGCATTTCAAAAAGATCATTTTAATTTAAATATTTTATCACATTCTTGGGCTGGTAGTTCTGTGTCAGGTGTGAGGCTTTTTGCCAGAATCCATGGTCTGAACAGCTGTATTAAAATAACAACATCGAAAGCCGGACATTTACATTTTTTTTTTTAAAAGTAGTGTATTTCTTGAGTGTGAAAGTATGTGTTCCAGGTCTGATGTTGCTGCCTGAGCCTCCTGAACATGGAGTACCAGATAACCATTGTTGTTGCTCGTTACTTTTAGTACCAGGTGTATGCCTATTGTCGGTCCAGCTAAGCCACAGAAGAGCTTATTGCAATTAAATAGCAATTTGTTTCTATGAAACTGCAATTAAAGTATTACTGATCAGCCATTTTAGATTGGCAGTGCTGTGACTGCATGTTAAACAGTGAGGAGCTCTCCATTTATTTCTGCAGAGTCTGAGCTGCGGGTAACAGGGAAGTGTAACACGCTCACCTATGTCCCTTGTCAAGTTGAAAGTATGAGTCCTCCGTGAAGCACTCTGATCTCATCACGAACATGCTGAGAGCAATGACAAGTCGGGGCTGATCTCTGTAAGTTGAACTTGCAACTTACAGGACCTGGAGTTATTACTGTTTTCTGTTCCTGTATAAGCAGGGATGTGTACGCTTCCTACAGGGGATGTTTTCAACTTGAGATTGATTCTGTTGAGAATGGACTGCGCGTTGTGGGCCGCAAGCCAATAACGTACTGCAGGTCCTGACTTGTTAGAGCTGTGTAAACAGGGCTACTATATCTCCTTAATCACAACTAATAAAAGACTAGAAGAAAGCAATCAATTACCTTGTAAGTTGTTGGGTTTTTTTTAATAAAAAGCAGAAGTTTATCTGACACGGCTATTATTTTCACACTTGTACAACAGATAAGACAGTTTAAAGCAACCCGATCGGCTTACCTGTGCGCACCCGGGGTTTGCTGGTGTCTGTGCGACTGTGACATTCCCGGGAAGCCACAGTGCTCCTTGCCCCCAAGCCCGGCAGAACCCACCAGCCGCCGCCTTGAGTCCCCTGCCAAGCTTGTAGCCATTCGTGGTTGACTTGACATCTGAAATGTAAATTTTTCGGTGCAAATTAAAAACTTGTTTGTAAGAACTCAAAAAGGAATTAACTTTGTAGTGGTAATTATATTTCTTAATTATCACCATATTTTAACAAAGTCTGAGACATGTTAACTTCAGTTCCTGCGTTTTTGCACGGCGGAGGCTGTAGACATCCTGGTTCCTTCGCCAGAGGGGATGACATCACACCTGTGGCATGCATGAGATAAGCCTTGCTTCATTTAGAAACGGGTTCCTGTCTTTCAGAAATGTTCCTTGGGGCGTGAAATGGCTAGGGCCCTAGTCCTGAAGTGTGACCCATTGGGGTAGATGACTGCTACGGACCATACTGGTGGTAAATGGGCAACACGAGTGCCTGGCTGCGGGGGAGCGACAGTACCGGCCCAGCGTGCGCAGGCTCTTCGCCCGGGCAGGGAAAATGCCTGTGCTTAAACCTCAGTGAAAATGGGCCAGCTGACAGTAACTCACTCGCCTGCAGTGGGTTGGTTGTATGAAGACAGATGCAACTGTGTTGAGGATGATTTTCTTTTTCCACTCTGTGGGTATTTTTTAACAATGCGGGTTCTGTTGTCCCGTTTCCTTTAACAACAGCTCTAGCGTTAGGTTCACAGAAGTGTGTTGGCGTGCAGGAGGCTGCACAGTTCAGGGGGGGCAATGGGCTCTCAGGCAGTAGCTGGGGTGTAGCCTCTGTCCTGCCTGGTGGCTCATGCTGCTTTTTTCCCCTGCTCACCACTACCTTGGCCACTGATGGGCAACCAGGGGCCCGGCACCACAAGAACAGGAGTTTTTTTGGTGTTCTAATGAGGCCTCTCAGTGCTACTGTATTAAAGATAATAAATTTCAGCATTTTAGTGCCTGGAAAGGCAGGCGCAGGCCATAGCACATTGCGTTTAGCCAGGGCAGGAAAGATGTAAAGTCCAGTGACTTAAACAAGCGCTGTCCCTGTAACAGTGTGATGTGCGAGAGACGCTACGTGGGGGCTCAAGCCTCGGAAGGACCAGCCCCATAAAGGGCCTGGGCTGTCTAACGGCAAAGCACACACACGCAGGAAGGCTGGAAATCTGAAGAGGTGCTGACTAACTTTCAAAAAATTTGAGCTTAAACTTCTCTCATATTCACTGTTGTAATACAGGCCTCGTAGGCCACAGTGCCATTTTGTTTCCATGTGCAATATCACTCTTACATTTTTGTAAAATTATTTTATC